GATAAAGAAATGTGGTACAAACGTAGAGTACAATATTCCTTATAAGGATTATTTTCGTTTATACAATAGGTTCATTCCACTCTGAAACAGCCATATAGTTCCTTGTACTCAAGTTTTGGATTTTCTAAATTTGACAACGTTCACTTGCTCTTATAGTCACCTTCCTTTTGTTGACATTCTGCTCTTACTTGAAGAATTGAGGTCACTCATTCTGTCTGAATATATCTACACACAGATTATTCCAGAACTCTGCTCCCTGCATGCCTTTTGTATTGAAATCACTTCCTTATTCTTCTGTTACACCTCAAGGCGGTGTGGAGGCTTCCGCCTCAAATCCCAGCAGTGGCAGGGTGGTCACATGTTGGAGCAGGTCACAAAGAGCCCGATGAGGACATGGGTATGTTGTGGGGACATCACCCGGGGGCCATCAAGAAGGCAGCAGGGTTTTTTTGGGAGACCCACTTAGGAGGAATAGACATCATTTTAATTCACCTCCTGGTCAGCTTGAATAGAACCTATTTTGGCGGACTCCTCCCCACTGGGCTTTCTGCAGTGCACTCTCCGTACTGCAGGGATCAAGGTTGCCCTCCTTCCTGTGGGCCTCTCCTCTCAGCCCTCAGCAACTCCGCACACCCTCAGTCCAAACGCACCACCCATGCCCTCTGCCTGTTGTCCCAGTCTGTCACCTGCCCTGAGATTTGATGTGAACTCATCTCAGATATGAGTTGTCTGTGGCCAACTTCCTGCTGAAACACTGGTGTGCATGAGGTCATTATCCTGTATAGGAACCAGTTCACTACACACTTTTGTAGATAGAAACACTGGGGAAGAAATCCGTATGAATTTTCAAAGTCTCATATCTGACTAAGATGGATGATAACAGTCCCAGGCAGGTGGGCCAAAGGAGCAATTACAGCACTTGCAGGAACACCACCTTCATGAAGGATTTCTCCAGAAATTAACATTAAAACCACAGAATGATGGACTGATAGAAGACTACAGGGAAACCCTCAACATTTTCTTTAGATGGTTGTCAAACACAGCGCCATTATGTGCAAAGCCACAAAATAGAGAACAGATCTGCCAGACCTGACTCCCACAACACCAGTGCCAGGCTCAGCAGCTCCCCCACCCAGCACCGGTCTGAGGAACCTGTGTCACCCTGGCTCATCCTCTTATACAGCCTCCCAGACACACATGCAAATCACCCCAGGTGCTGACAAAAGAAATCTCTGTCACCAACAGGTTCAGTGTGGAGGTCTCCATCCTGCAGGCAACATGGAGATACTGTGGACCCTTCTCTGTCTAATGGCAGCTCCCCTGGGTGAGAGTTCTGGGGTCTCTTGTTGTTTGTAGGTGCCTGGATATGGGAAGGGAAAGACTCACCATGATTCCCCTTGTCCTCAGGTGTGCTGTCTGATCTGACACTCCGGGAGTCAGGACCGAGCCTGGTGAAGCCCGGAGAGACCCTGTCCCTCACCTGCAGTGTCACAGGAGGTTCTGTATCCAGTAGCTATGCTTTGAGTTGGATCCGGCAGCCTCCTGGGAAAGCTCTACAGTGGATGGGGATCTGGGCAGGGGGCACAATCTATAACCCAGCCTTCCAGGGCCGCATCTCCATCACTGCCAACACAGCCAAGAACCAGTTCTCCCTGCAGCTGAACTCCGTGACCACGGAGGACACGGCCGTGTATTACTGTGCAAGAGACACAGTGAGAGGGCGTCAGTGGGAGCCCAGACAGAAACCTCCCTGCAGGTGTGTTTTTAACCAGCAGGGGGTGCCCACGACCACCAAGCTCAGAAACCAGCTTCAGGAACAAATAGTGCGGCTAGGGGTGTGCTTTCTGAGTCTGGTGTGATGCTCCCCACTGAAGCCATTTCCAGCTCTGTCATCCTGCATTCCCTCAAGTCTGTCATTTAGGTATTTAGAGGAATCACTCTACTCTTGTTGCCTATGGAGATCTCTTTCATTGGTCTGAAAAACAAATTTCTCCTCAGCAACCTACAGCTCAGCTCTAGATTCATCCGTGCAATTCCTCACTTCATGTCTCCAGTTAGAAATCTAATCAGTGCCTCACATTTGCATGCATGGAAATTTACCTCTGCCACCAAGCTTCTTGCTGTACCTCGTCCTCTTCCTGACCTTTTTCATTAAGGCACCCAGCCTCACAGTGAGGCCTTTGGAATCTCCCGTGAGATCTCTTTCATTCTCACATCCACACGTTTGTTAGAAGCTCCCACACTGTATTCCAATTTAGAGACACATTCACAGGTAACTGCTCCTCAGTACCTTTGAAGTGTCATTGGTCTAAAGGCCAGATGTTGCCTGAGATGCTTACTCCTGAAAACTGCATACAGACCCCATTTTCGTACCTATTTCAGCTTCTAGGAGTTGCCTGTCTTTCTTAGTGCATGTTCCATCCCTCTGTCTTTAAAGGACATCACTGTAATCTGTGCTCTCAGAAACACCTCACCTTTTCCTCTGGCCCTGACCCTCCTCCTTCCCCTCTAAGGACACTTGGAGTTACACTGAGGCTCCTCAGCTAACCCAGAATCATGTCTTCCTGTCAAGATCTGTGATTTAATCCCATCCACAATATCCCAGTCACCAGGATCAGGTCACAGAGGGATGGGTCCTGGTGATGAGCACGTGGACACATGGGGACGCTGACTCAGCTGGCCCAGGCTCTGTCTCCTGCTCAGCCCGCTCCACCCTGGGTGCAGCCAGCACCCTGCACACGAAGGACATTGGTTGGCAGCAGCAGTAGCAAAACCTGTGCCTGCCACACTCCTAGTGTTTGTGCTTCACTCTATTCTATGTTTCCTTTTCTGCTGTCAATGCAGAGGAATTGTTACTGTCACATTATTTGGGGTGTGTTTTCTTCCTATAGCACTTTGAAAATATATCTAATATTATCTATTCCCTCCTGGATGTCTAGAGTCCTGGGATTCTTTCATTAGGAGAATGCATATTTCAATACCTACAACTATAATGTATACTTTGTCATCTTGCACATCAGACAATTCTTCTTTCTTAGAGTCTATTCTTTAGTTGTTCATTTTTTTCTGCCTCTTTAGTGTTGATGCATTTTACAAAATTTGAAAATTCAGAAAGACACTTTATCATTTTCCTCTGCATGTTTACCTCCTTTGTTTGGTATTCAAACTGCCTACAATGTTGTTTCCTTTCTTATGCTATGGTTTCTAATTACAAGATGTCGCTATGGGTGGGGTGGCCCCCTGTGAACTGGCATCACATGGACGGCGCCCTACTCCTCACCGCAAGGGTGCCCAGGCTTCTCACAGTTTCCCTCACGGGTGACATTTTAACTCGGTATTGCTGCTCCACACTTGGCCCATGTTATGAGCAGCAGGGGGTAAAGGTTTTGTTTCCTACCTCATACAGCTCTGTACTTTGGGAATACTTCCCATCCGGTTTCACATTTGAAATAAAATTATTACTCCTCTCCTCTTGTAAGCAGGTAAGTTAATGCAGATTTTTAACTAGATCAGTTGGACCATTGTGCTCTGTTAGTCTGTTTTAAGAAATCATGTTGTACACAATAAATATAATTTTATTTGTCCATTAAGAAATAAATTAATTTCTTTGAAAGAACCTCTACCCAAGTCCAATTCTTTATAGACTTAGCTTTTCCTGTGCTGTGTGTGTTACACACACTTCAGGAAGGTCATATTTCCAAAGATTTCACTCTCAATTCAAATGTGATTATTAATTTCATCTGTGTCAGGCGCACTGCAGTCTCATTTGCTGTCCTAGTATATGTACTTCAGTTAGCAGAACACTCCCTAGGAAGATCCTTTGTAGGAAAACATAAGTATAATATTTTTTAACTCTCTATGACAAAAGTTGAAAGAAATATAAAATGGAGAATTTCTAGAGACAGGAACTGTACAAGAGCATGAAGACAAACTTCTGACATGCATATGAAGAGCTACAAGATGATCATAACAACTCTGAGAAAA